AGTGCCCCAAAACACCACCCGCGCTATACAAGCACCCCAAAATCACAGAATCCTCATGGATGGAAGGGACCTTTGAGATCATCAAGTCCAACCACCAAAAAAAAAAAAAATCAAACAAACAACAACAACAACAAAAACCCACACAAACAAACCACAAACAGACACAAACCAACAATCTCAGGCACTAGAGCATGCCCTGAAGTGCCATGTCTACACATTTCTTCAATGCGTCCAGGGATGGCAACTCCACCACCTCCCTGGGCAGGCTGGTCCAGTGCCTGACCACTCTCTCAGTAAAATAATTCTTCCTAATATCTAATCTAAACCTTCCCTGCCCCAACTTCAGACCATTTCCTCTGGTCCTGTCATTATTCACTTGGGAGAAGAGGCCAACACCCACCTCTCTACACCCTCCTTTCAGGGAGTTGTAGAGGGCAATGAGGCCTCCCCTCAGCCTCCTCTTCTCCAAACTAAACATGCCCAGAAGTGAATAGGAAAAGTGGATAGGAGGGAAGAGCTCAGCTCTGCTGAGAGCCATGATGAGCTGGCCTCTCTTCACCGTACGCAAGGAGCCATGTCCCCACACAGTTAGAGAACAAAATATCCTGAAAAATACCTTCCTACCAGGAAACCACTGGGGAAATGTTAAAGCACACCCCCTCTGGAATAAGAACTAGGTCAATGCATGGCGTGCAGGAGGAGGGGGCTCTGTGCCGGTGGCAACAGCAGAATTTCTAGGCTGGTGATCAGCACAAATAGCTGCTGCAGGTGGGAACTCAATCCCATCTAATTGGGATGCACACAGTGGTTTGAAAGCTTCTGGGGGAGGAGGGAGAGTTTGATACAAAGACTTACCTGGAGACCACTCAGATGATCACTGAAAGTGAGGCGAGGGGAAAACAACCAACTCTTCAATTTATTTAAAACAAGAGTACCACACAAGGGTCAGCTGCACAGAGAGAAGGTTGGGCCAAATTCCCACTCAAGGACACAATGATTTGGAGGTTACGCAGCATCCAAGAGCCAAGCTTGTTAGGAGTTGAGGGAAAAAGAGAGTATGGGGGTACATCACCAGTATCCACAGGGCCACCACCGGGCTGAGGTACTGCAGCCCAACCAGGGGTGCAGCACTTAGCCAGGTCAAGCAGATCTTTCTGCTTCAGACAAAGGAAGTCCCAGTATGAACTCAAAGCACCTGAGTGCGACAACAGTATATGCAATTTCAAGCTCAAAACAATATTAACAACTATTTCCAAATTAAAAAAAAAAACAACCAACCAAAAAAAAAAAAACCAACCAACCAACCAAACAAAAAACCCCAAAAAACCCAAACCAAATGAAAACCCCACCAAAACAGAAGTTATATAAAGAAATAACCAAAAGCTGAAGACCTAAAATGAGTAGAGCCCAAGCCATCCCCATAATTTGCTCCACTTACCACTTCTTGCTTGTAAGCTGTACTTACTCATACACCAATAACGCTGTGAATAGAAATTAGCACCTTTTCATCTCGATGAAAGGCATGTGGGATTCTCAGAGACACCTTATCAACGTGGGTAGGGGGAAAGGAGATAAACACACGGGGCTGGAAACATTTAACAGGCACCACAAGTGAAGTGAGACCAAAAAAACATCAGAGGGAAACCAGCTATAACCAAACAAAAAACCCCAAAAAACCCAAACCAAATGAAAACCCCACCAAAACAGAAGTTATATAAAGAAATAACCAAAAGCTGAAGACCTAAAATGAGTAGAGCCCAAGCCATCCCCATAATTTGCTCCACTTACCACTTCTTGCTTGTAAGCTGTACTTACTCATACACCAATAACGCTGTGAATAGAAATTAGCACCTTTTCATCTCGATGAAAGGCATGTGGGATTCTCAGAGACACCTTATCAACGTGGGTAGGGGGAAAGGAGAGAAACACACGGGGCTGGAAACATTTAACAGGCACCACAAGTGAAGTGAGACCAAAAAAACATCAGAGGGAAACAGACCAGACTTGCCACAGGTCCATGGTCAGCATCAGTGGTCCAGAAATAGTTTGGAACAGAGTATTATCTGCTATTACTGCACAGGTAACTACAAGACCAAAGGATTTGAAAATGCCAAGCAAACTTCAACTGAAGGATGGTTCAAATACTAGTATTTGAAAACCAGGAAGATTGGTAAATCCAGAGATCCCTCTTCTGGGTCTGTGATGTCTCAAAAAAAATTGAACCACGTCCAGATGCCAAACACAGGATCACATGCCTTTAGACAAGAACCAAGAGCACTTACAGAGAGCTCTTTTTTCTTAAAGAAATATGCATCACCAGCAAATCACCCGGGCCAGAACCGCAGCTGGTTCACAGTAACAGCAGATCTCGTACCTTTTAACTACAGATTTTGCTAAGGGCTCCAATCCTTCTCCTTTCATCGCTCACATCCCAGACTTTGCAGCACAGAGATTAGGTCTGGGTGCCCCTACTACTGGTGTCAGTTCAGTAAGTATGGCAGTATCTGCTGATTTTAGGAGTAATCTGGACAGGGTGTGTTCCCCTCTCTGTCCCAACCAGGCCCCTGTGTGCTCTGCACGAAATTAGCTGAGAAAATAAACACCGGGACTTCACCTTAAACTGTTTCTAAACAGCAGATCCTGTTTCTTCACACTCAGCTCCATAAAGTAAATTAAAGAGGCATATCCTTAGTCCAGCAAACTATAAAGGCAAAATAAGGAATCGGATAAGCATGTCCTTTGTTCTCAAACATTTGTGCCATCCCCTTTGTTCGGCACCGTTCCCGGCTCAGAGGAGCAGTTGCCCGGTTTGGTTGAGCCTTAGGAACAATCTTGTAAAAAGCAAATGTTGCCATCATGTGGCAACCTCCAGAAACAGAACTGTGCTCCTGCTAGTCCCTCTGTCCCAGAAACACCACAAACCAGCACAGACTCAGCAAAACGCCCCTGGATTGAAAGAAAGGTGAACTACCAGGCACAAACTTGTACATAAGAAGCTCCATCTAAACATGAGGAGGAACTTCTTTCCTGTGAGGGTGGCAGAGCACTGGAAGAGGCTGCCCAGGGAGATGGTGGAGTCTCTGTCTCTGGAGACATTCAAACCCCACCTGGACACCTTCCTGTGCAACCTGCTCTGGGTAGACCTGCTTTGGCAGAGGGGTTGGACTAGATGATCTCCAGAGGTCCCTTCCAACCCTGTATCATTTTGTGATTCTACCGACACAACAGAGCTGCAGGTTTCACGAGTTGCAAAAAGGAGCACCAGATGCTGTTCACATGGAACAAGCTGCCAGAAGGACAGCACAGGTACCAAAACCTGACATATTCCATTCTATTCTCCCCTTTCCTGCAAATTGTAAAAAAAAATAAAAAAAAAAATAAAAATGGTACTTACACAGCAGTTGATGGCAGACACGGTGTTACAGAATCATTTTCTCTTAAGGCATGTAACACCTCTCTCACCCTAACAGTGCCTTAATCTTTAATATCCCCCGCACATCCTTCCTCCCACCCTCCCACCACGTTTTTGGGGTTCCTGCTCAGGCAGACCAGCCACCGGGCAGCACAGCAGGTGACAGCACACAACATGTCACCCCAAGGACTCTGATACCTCAGTGGCTGCCACGGGGCAGTGGTGGGAACAAAAACACTGGCCAAGCTGCTGCAGTCACAGCCCAAGTTACTCCTTGGAGGCAAGAACCTTTAAAAACGATCAAACGTAGAAAAAGCATCTGGGAGCTCACGATGATTGAAGGCACATCTATCTTCTCTACAGGCACTTTCAACAATTTTTTCTCCCAGTCTTATATAACTGAGCTTAAAAGCAGTCCTTAAAAAGCCCAAAAGAACCCTAAGGAAAATCTCACCTCAAAGGACCTGCAGGTTGATATACCTTCCAAGTCGCTTTCAAGTTAAAGAGTTGCAGAGTAGGTGGATTAATCACTTGAAAACCCAATTTCAAATAATGATCTCCAGCTGCTTGAATATGGGTTTTAATCCCAATTTGTGTCACTTCTGATTTTTTTTCCTTAGTTCTTACATCCATTCGTATCGACCATGTGCTTAACTCAGTTTCCAAAGCCACATCAATAACTCAAGACAGCACTGTATATAGCTTTTAAGTGTTTGAGCATAGAGATGGCTAATTCTGGTTAAAATAAGCAACACTGGCCACTAACTGCTTAAAAGCACACATTTGTAAAAGCACATGCTTATCAGTGTATTTTACTATAGATTTAAAGGCCTTATAACCATCATTTTTTAAAATATATATTCTCCCTCCTCCATTTCGTATTTGGCTGTAAAAATAATTTGCTTTTCAATTACAAGAGATCCCAGACTTCCACAATTTCTTCATTCAATATGAAGAAAATCTATCCCCTGCAAACAAACTACACAGGAGAAAACACAGGAAAATATGGATGCTGACACTCAGAGATGTGTAAACATTTTACAGTGCAAAGACTAAATCAAGCACTTCAGTATTTCAGAGGGACTGAGTAGCAATTTTTTGGTCATGCCCCCTTTTCCTTAGTGGTTTTGATTAAAAAGCAGGAATTGTAAGGTGCATGGTTTAAGGAACTGCCATTAGGCTCAGGTCTTGACATAAACTCTTTAACTTTAAACCTAAGTCACCAATTTCCACCTTGTAACTGTGCTTAGAGGACTACTGGGTTGTTAGGCAAGTGTTTTTAGAAAATATGGATTAATTTTAAGCCTTTAAACAGCAATTTGTCAGTCTTTCAAAAACTGACATACTCACAGCCTAACCAGAACACATACTTTACGTTTATGCCTTAATTTATACAGAAAAATTAGCGTAATTGGTTATTCCTAATCTTTCACACCCCAAATTGTGCAAGTGATCTTGTTTACTCCCAAACACCAGATATCAAGTACTGTACGGTCAACTTCACAGAAGGTGACTAAAACACATCAGCATGTTCCAGGGAAACGCTAGAACCCAACATTTGGACATTAATAAATGACACAGACAACGATTCTTGGTGAGAAGCAAAGCGAACTCATGATTACAATTCAAATCAGATGTTTAACCATTTGTTAAAGAATCAGAACAAGGACACAGAGTCATACATAACTAGAAGTTGGTTTTATTTCTGTGCCTTCTGCACCTTCTGCGCTTTCGCTGACTTCTGCGCCTTCGCTGGCTTCTCTGCTTTCTCTGACTTCTCTGGCTTCTTGCCTTTATTAGAAGCCAGCCTCTGGAGCTTCTTCATTTCATGCTTGATGATCCTGTTTCTCTGTAAAAAAAAAGGAAAAAGTTTACTATTCATCAGAATGAAAACAGCTACAGCTCATAAATACTATGAAATATATGAATTATGAAATAACATTTATGACATTCTGAAGTATTTCATAAGTAATAAGAATCTTTATGAAATATTATGAATTTCAATTCTACACATTCAGATTCTGCCCATTTTGACAATCACCCTTGCTAACCCATTACATTTACACTATATAGTCAAAAGATTTACCATGCATTACATTCAAAATGCCAAATTCCACCGAAAACTGTTCTGATCTACTAAGTGGACGACAACATTCTGGCACCTGGTAACTTGGGTACCCCAGTAATTTCATGCGTAATGACTTTCATTACAGAATGAAACACGAGCAACAAACCCATCAAGAATATCTGGATTTTGTCAGCAGGCAATTCCTTCCTCAGCTACAACTTGGAGGAGTGACACACAGAGCACGTGGGTTCAAGTTTGATCAACTACTGAAGAGAAAGTCGTGGCCAAAGCAGCATGAAAAATGCAAGGCATTCACATACTTTGTGTCATTCCATAACCCAAACCAGCTATAAAAGTAAGGCTATTAACATCTGCATGTGACTGTAAAACAAAAGCTAACCCCCAAAAGAAGTGACACTCAAACACTTACCATTTTCTTGGCTTTCATAACCTTGTAGCGATCAAAGTCGGTCATTTTGGCTTTCTGTTTGAAAAGAATCAGTCATGAAGCTCTGATATGTATATAGACACATACGCAAGTAGTAAAACTCAGGTGTTTCAAAGCATTCCACAAGTAACCCTGATCATCTCCAAATTAGGCTTAGCTGGGCATCTGTAACTAGTTCACTATTTAAGTCCTTTGCCAGGAAATGATGGTGCAAGAAAAAGGGTGGTTATAGAAATGACTGAATAAAACCACCTTTAGTGTTAAAATACAAGAAGCTGAAGCTGATAGATAGCAACTTTCAGCAATCTGTGTCTTGCCTATCTTTCACCTTAGTCTGCAACTGAAAATACCTAGTTAATTAGATTGCAACTAATTTTAATAAGCAGCAGCAGCACAACATACAACACTCAAACTGAAAAACTGTACCTTTTCCCGGGCTTCGATCTTCTTTGCCCATCTTGTTGCTGCCCATTTTTCATTTATATTTTCCTTTTCCCAGGCAAGTCGCACACACTTCTGACGGGCACTGCAATACAACAGTCACAAAACTGTATTCACAGTCTTTATAAAAAAAAATTCTCTCTGATGCTGGCCCATCGGATTTCATACAAGGGAAGATCACCCTTCTACATTACCTCAGACACTTAAAGTCAATGCCACACACATCTCTGTGGCCTAATTAACATTTTCTTGAGCAAATGGTTTTCTGGGACTGAACAGAGCAGCGACTCCAAGAGGCATTCCCATGCACTATTCCTAGCACTGCTTCAGAATCTAAAGTCAGCAATTTTTGCTTCTAAAATTATAGAAACTCATACAGTAAACTAAGCTAAAGAGAACAGAATGAGTTCAGCCTCCCGCAACTGCAGTGCAGTTTTGAGGGCAGGGAATGTATTCAGTGTCTGAAGGCAACCAAAGCAGTAGTAAAACAAAACTGCACAGTATTTACTGCAACTGCTTCCCCCCACAACATCCACCCCCCAGCTACCTGCAAGTTGCACAGGCCAGTCCGCTCTTTGCTTTGCTCCTAAAACAGTGGTTATCAGCCAATACTGATAACGAAAACTTAGATGTATTCAACTGTGATCACAGTGTGCTAAAGTTTTATTGCACACACGCATTAATCCATTCACTTAATGTCCTATGAACTTTCTAGACTTAGCAAGCATCAGGTCACGTAATTCAGGCATCAAGTGACAGCATGGGTTGTGTTTTTTTTTTTTATAGGTCAAAAAAAATGCAAACAACTCACCTGTGTGGGAACTTGAGAACAAAGTCAGTCAGCTGCATGCACTTGAAGGGCATAGCCTGCCTTCTGACACCACTGCAGGGACCATCAACGAGTGCCTGAAAAAGGAAGACAGATTTGGGGGGTTTACAACAGTTTTCCCATCACATTCGATTCAGACCACAGCTTCCTAATAATGTATCTTGACAACAACGGTCCAAAATTGTAGTAAGTGTTATGCAGACAAAACCCAATACTGTTAAGTCTTGTGTACACACCCCATACTTTACAGAAAGAATTTTAAAGGCCCATCTTTGTCTTTGAAAAAAAACCAAACTGAACTTTAAAAAAAAAGGCACGCAAGACTAAGATAACATACTCAATCTTTTTTACTAGCTTTTTCAGAAAAATTAAATGAAAAAGAGTCCCCTAGCCCAAATATTTTCTTTAAACATACATTAATTCCACTCCTAAGTTTTAGACTCCAACTGACATCGCTTGTCCACTTCTACTCCTAGGAAACACAGCAGAGAGGGGAATGTATCACTTGCCAGCGTAAAAAGCTTGCTACTGAAAGTTTCAAATACAACAACAGCTGCTCAATACCATTTTTTTGTCAATTACTTACTTCCTTGAATAATATATTCACAGTCAAATTTCCTTTAAAATCAATACACTTAGTTCATGAACTTCTGTGAAGATGAAAAGAAAACAAAGGCACTGCGCTCTTCACTTACCCTGTTTTGGTCAATAACATCCACAATGGCCACCAGCTTGCCAGCATGTGGCCCAAAGGAAATGAAGGCAACTCTGCCAATCTCGACGAAGCGTTTGAACACCTGAGAGCAGCGAGAATTGACAGGAATTAGGCAAAAATACAGCAGGGGCCATCACTAGGTTCAAGGCTCTCACTGCCTACAAAGCAGGTTCCCAAACATTCACGGAATCACAGAATTGTTGGAACTGGAAGGGACCTTCTAGAGATCTAGAGATGATCTAGAGATCATCTAGTCCAACTCCCCTGCTAAAGCAGGATTGCCCAGAGCACATTACTCAGGACTGCATCCAGGTGGGTCTTGAAAATCTCCAGAGAAGGGGACTGCATGACCTCCGTGGGCAGCCTGTTCCAGGGCTCTGGCACCTTCACCCCAAAGAAGTTCTTCCTCGTATTTGAGTGGAACTTCCCATGTTCCAGCTTGTGCCCATTGCCCCTCGTCCTGTCACCAGGAACCACTGAAAAGAGTCCAGCTCCATCTTCCTTCAACCCACCATTTAGATACTTATAAGCATTAATAAGGTCTCCCCTCAGCCTTCTCCAGGCTAAAGAGCCCCAGCTCTTTGAGCCTTTCCTCATCAGGGAGATGCTCCAATCCCTTTATCATCTTAGTTGCCCTACGCTGGACTCTCTCCAGTAGTTCCCTGTCTCTCTTGAACTGTGGAGCCCAGAACTGGACACAGCATTCCAGTTGCGGCCTCACCAGTGCAGAGTAGAGGGGGAGAATGAGCTCCCTCGACCTGCTGGCCACACTCTTCCCTACGCAGCCCAGGATCCCATTGGCCCTCTTGGCGACGCGGGCACATTGCTGGCTCATGGACAGTTTACTATCCACCAGGAGCTCCACATCCCTCCCCTCAGAAGTGCATTCCGACTGCACACAATCCCTTCGGCTTGAGCCAAGGCCCCACAGTGAGGCAGGCCCCGCCGTGAGCCCCACAACTACTTTTTTCCTCCGGCCCTGGCCCCGCGGAGAGGCCGCAGGCAGAGCGAAGCGGGGCGAAGCTCCGAGCCCCGCGGGCCGCACAGAGCCAGGAGCGGCCACGCCGGCTCGGGGCCTACCCGGGCCTACCCAGCGGCCGCACGCGGGGCCCGCTCCCAGCCCCGCACCCCTGAGGCGGCCGCGGCTTTCCCCTCATCTCCCACCTCCCACCCTGCCCTAGCCCCGCCGCCCGCCTCGCCCCCGCCGCCTCAGCCGACCCAGAACGCAGGGCGTGAGGCGGCGGGAGCGGCCGGTGCCAGGAGGCCCCGCAGCCCGCACGTACCATGATGGCCGCCCGCGAGCAGAAAGGGAGGGGCGGGACCGCCGGCGCCCGGAAACCGGCTCCCCCCCCCTCCCCGCCCCTCGCGTGCCGCCACTGCGCATGTGCGGAGGCGGGGGCCCACGCGCCGCCAGTGCGCGCGCACCGCGCGGGGAGGGGGGGCCGGAAGCGGCGGGCGGGCGGTGGGTGAGGGGGAGCCGGGGGTACGGCCGGGGCCTGGCCCCGCTCGCTCGGACCAAGGGCGTCCTCGGTGCTCCCCGTTGGCACCGCGGGCAAGGCAAGGGAGGTGGTTTTGGTCGCAGCCGCCGTGAGGGAGCGGCCCGGTTGGCGGGAGGGGGCCCGGTTGGCGGAGGCGGGAGGGGGATAGATGCGCTAGGCCGCGCCGGTGCTGAGGGGAGTGTGATGGGGCTGGTGGTGTGGGAGCGCAGGAGACGGCCCGCAGCCTGTGTTGGAATTGCCCCGCTGTTCGAAGGGCAGAACGTTTTAATGAGGAGAGGGCGGTAAAAAAACTCCCCGAGATGGTGGGTGGTTTTTTCTCGTTATAGTGCAGAACTGGGCCTTGACTGGCAAGAGCAAACAGCGCTTGGGAGGGAGGCAGGAGAAGCACTCCTTCAGAGCAGACTCAGAGAGGGTAAACCCAGCGTTACAGTTCAGTGTAGGAGGTGATGCCACCTGACGGTGACAAGTTTGTGCTTTGAAAACAATCATAGAATGCTTTAGGTTGGAAGGGACCTTAAAAACCGTCTAGTTCCAACCACCGCTCTGGGCTGGGACACCTCCCACCGGACCAGGTTGCCCGGAGTTCCATCCAGCCTGGCCCTGAACACCTGGAGATGCTGACACACGCACGTGGTTCGCATTTTGCAGGATTTTCACTCGCTCTAAACATCAGGCAAAGCATCTGGTATGAAAAGATGCGAGTTTGAGAGCAGCAAAGCATAAGCAAAACAAGCGCTCCTGGGAAATAGGTCTGACCTTCAGCAGCGGAATGAAACATCCCAGTTTCGCTGTCTAAAGCTTATTGTTTGTACAGTTTTGCTTTTATAATAAAAGTAAGTAAAAAAACACACGTAAGCCATTTTAAATGGTGCAGATGTTTTATGCAAGTGCCCAGGGAATGGATCATTATGACATTAATGAGCACTTAACTCCATCAGGTATTTTTGAAGGTCCCCTCCAGAATACCATTAGAGCGATATTAATTTACTCTGCTTTGCAATAGTAACATAGTAATACATGTAATTACACCACTTATTTTTAAACATGTTCTAGGTCAAGTCAGTAGAAGGGGATGGCTTTGGGATTCTTCCAATTTGCAGTGATTTGGAAAAATAGTCTTTTTCTTCATTTGATCTAACATTACTCTCCCGTGCTACTTCAGAGGAAGGGACGTTACCTAACATCTTGGCCTTTTTAAGGACCTTTGCATGTTTTGTGGCAGAGGTACTCCAGCATCACTAGTGACTGTACTGAGGGTGCAGGATGCCAGAGTTGCATCGGTTTCACATAGCTGCAACTTGCACGCGTTTCTGCCTCTGTTAAGATCATAAAAGACTGGAAGGGGCATCATAAAGTACCAAACTTGGGTTGTGCCTTAACATCAAACACTGAAAAAAATTCAGGACACAGATTTCTCCCGTGAATACACTTTTAAAAACCTACACTAGGCCTGTACAAGCATTCACTGTCATAATGTCAACCTAGTGTATCTGAAAGAGACCCTACGAAGTGTCAGTGCCCCTCAGTGAAACGTTAACAGTATTTAGAAGTTGTTTATGTATGTTCTTCTGTGTTGTGTATATATATTTTAAAAAATGTCAACCTAGTGTATCTGAAAGAGACCCTACAAAGTGTCAGTGCCCCTCAATGAAACGTTAACAGTATTTAGAAGTTGTTCATGTATGTTCCTCTGTGTTGTGTATATATATTTTAAAAAAAAAAAATAAATCAAGGAGCTGCTTGGTTTTAACCACCAGGGTTTCCTTGCTGAGAATACAGATTCTGGAGATAATGAGTGTCGTCAGCTCCAGAATCTCACACATCAAGTTTTGCATCGTGCAAATTTCCATCCCTCAGGACAGCGTTTCAGAGACGTCCTATCCCCTCTGGTAGGAATAACTTGTCTACCAGGATGAAAATACTGGTATTGGGGAAAAAATAGTAAGAAATAAAAAGCACACCTGGCTTACCTTTTCACAATTTTATTAATCTTCATAAGCAGGCAATAAAGAGTATAAAATGATAAATAACCTACAGTTTCACACCTGGCTTACCTTTTCACAATTTTATTTCACAAGCAGGCAATAAAAAGTATAAAATGATAAATAACCTATAGTTCGTACACATTCCCAAATGCTGTTCTCCTCACTGGCTCTCCCAGAGGCCTGTTCATGTCGAGGTGACAGGACACTGTTACACCCGTGGGCCAGGTTCTGGCTCACACCTGGGGGAGGATTTAGCTGCGGTTACTGAAGTGATCACCCACCCTCCCGTAGCAACCACTACAGCCACGGGGAGCCACGCTGGCTGCCTGTCCCAGCCTGGCCGTGGTTTTTTACTGAACTGCAGCCACAGTCCTGGCTTGGAAGAAGCAGCTGCCTGGCCAGAAGTTCACCATTTCCAGCTTTCCCAGCTGCAACTGAGAGGAGACGTTAAGACTGAGCAGGTGGATATCCTGGTGATACAGGAGGGAGGTTATAGACACAGGGAGAAGGGAGAACTACTGAAAAAGGAAACCAGAAGGCAATTCACAGAGGGAAGGCATTCTTTGATCAGATACTGGCTCCATCTGAGTACTCCTGGAAGTCCAAACGATTCTCGAACAGATTTACTTGTTCTTTAGCTGCCAACTCCAAGGAAACTGACTTCCAAGCATGTTCCATTTGTGCGAAACCACATCAGAATGGCGCTGCCATTCATAAACAAAGCAAAGCAAAAGTTCTGTAGGCAAGTAAATATCCCAGAATACCATTTTTCATGGAAGTCTGGCAACTGAAGAAAACATTTCAATATTTCAATGCTCTCCTCCAACTGCCTTTTTTTTTTTCTTTTTTACCTCTTAACTGCAGTTCCAGGCCCATCACCCAAGAGACAAAGCTTTCATCTCATGCTGACCTCTGTAATGTCCATGCATTCTGAAGTAAATGTTATATCAGATATAACTTGGGTGCCACAGAGCACTTCATCATCTTGTAAAACCTTCTGCCTTGTTTTAAGCGCTGCTATTCCAGTAAGACTGACAGGGCAGAGTAGTAGGACAACACAGAAGGGACAAAGCCCTCACTGCTGCTCCTCTTGAAAAATCACTAGTGTTTTTTGTTGGTTTGGTTTTTTTTTTTCCTTTTTTCCATTGAAAAACATATTTAGTTCCTTTCAAATCATCTATCAGCCTGTGAAAAACTAAGGAAAAGAAAACCCCAACCCCACAGCCAAACCTGAAAGCAAGAAGGTTACACAGAAACAAAAGACAAAGTATTACTCATGGGTAAAAATACTGGCCACTGTTCTGCTACCTCACAACCTAACCAATACAGGGAATAGGTTACGTTGGGATAGGAAACACATTACGTGCCCATAGGACTCATAATCCAATGTTAACTGATTTTTGAGTGTATGCATCAACAAGTCAATCTCTCACATGCAAGACACCTGCATGGACACACTGTGGTCCCAAACCCACTACAGGGAGGCAGTTCTGCTGGCCTGCAGACTGGCTTCTGTTCCTCTTGGCCTCAAAGGAAGGGTGTAACACGTTAATGCTTCAGAAGATCCCAGGTCTGAGACTCTATCCAGACAGTGGAAATAATATGTACACGACAAGTCAGTACTGACTGTGATTGTCTGAGATCAACAAAACATGGGGAATACAAGTCGGTGTTTCACTATAAGAACCTACGAAAGGTATTTCTGTGAAAATTAAAGGGAAGGACACTGAAAACTCTAGTGGCTTGTGGAGCTAACTATGAGACACTGAAGTTTAGGTTCAGTTACTAAAACGTGAAGGCGTTTTGTTCCACCTTCAAAGCAAATATTTTTTACCACAGCAGAGGCTTTGAGATCTCCATGGTACCAAAAGATCAGTTTTAAAACAGGCTGAGAGGTGTTGGCAGTTTATTACACCTTTATGTGGTGAGGATCAATCAATTTCGAACAGCAATAAAAACAATTCTATCCCAGCTGCTCCTTTCACATCATTACCTACTGCTTGTTCCAGTTTCAGAAATTAAATTATTTGGGGGCTTTTAGTGTCAGCACTGCACACAAGAACAACTGCCATCTTCCCACCTCCCACAATTCCTACTGACCTGCTTAATTTTATCTTAAACAACAGCTGCTATGATCAAATCTGTCACCACTTGAGTTCTCCAGTTAGTGCAGAGTTAGTGATACATACCTGGCAGGAAAAGGCTGTTAATCCCTTACCAAGCAAAGTGATGTATCTGCCCACCTTTTCTCTGCTGCAGACTTGACAAAATAGCTCTACAGAAACAATTGCCAAAATATTTCAAAAGCACTCCAGTTCACCACATCACAGATTCCTTTGTGTCTCTGCTGTGTTTATACTTCTGGTCTTTTTGCCTGTCTTTACTTCATCCTCCATTTTCAAAAAATAAAGGCCTACTTAATAGCAGTATAAAACTTCTGGTTTGTCTCCTGTAAAGTTCACTCATTCTGGAATAAATACATGTTCAACACGACTGATGGTCTTCTGATGACGTGATACAACACACAGGTAAACAAGAAAGAGAAGGCACAACAATGCTGTAGCTGTGAGGAAGACGAGGAGCCCAGCAAACAGAGAAGGTTTCAGAGGTAACTGGATCAATTTGCTTTCTGCTGGAATCATGTTTGTGAGGCTTAACATGTAACCGAGTGACCACGCTATACTGCTGTTACCAACCTGAAATAAAAGACAGAAGAGTTAATCCTATTCCCATTGACTTTTCAGTCAAAGAAGAGAGGTTCCAAAAGCTCAACTGCTGATGCTGGCAACTGCCTTCAACGTTACCAAGGAGAAAACTTTAATGGAGTATACAAAGAAGACACAGTTTAATTTTAAATTAAACTTTTTTCTTTTTTATAGTTCCAGAGGGTGCTAATAAAATTGGTCAGTGGGCCAAAGAAGTGAGACACGGTTATTAGATGGATGGCTGCAAGGATGCGTGGTATATATGCAGACAGACAGTTATGGGATTTTCTCTGCAAGAAACACACTTTAAAGACAGGTATTTGGCTTACAGTCTAGCATAGGTTGCTTTCTTTTTCAATTTCAAGTCACTCCAGGTAGTTCTAGGGTATGCTACAGAACAGATAAAGCTGAAGCTGTGTTCTTCTACAACCAACCAGCTCTCCCAAACTCATCTGGCTTTCCATCTTTATTACAGGTCATCCACTAAGGACAGCCTGAATTACCTCCCACAATTCCTACTGACCTGCTTAATTTTATCTTAAACAACAGCTGCTATGATCAAATCTGTCACCACTTGAGTTCTCCAGTTAGTGCAGAGTTAGTGATACATACCTGGCAGGAAAAGGCTGTTAATCCCTTACCAAGCAAAGTGATGTATCTGCCCACCTTTTCTCTGCTGCAGACTTGACAAAATAGCTCTACAGAAACAATTGCCAAAATATTTCAAAAGCACTCCAGTTCACCACATCACAGATTCCTTTGTGTCTCTGCTGTGTTTATACTTCTGGTCTTTTTGCCTGTCTTTACTTCATCCTCCATTTTCAAAAAATAAAGGCCTACTTAATAGCAGTATAAAACTTCTGGTTTGTCTCCTGTAAAGTTCACTCATTCTGGAATAAATACATGTTCAACACGACTGATGGTCTTCTGATGACGTGATACAACACACAGGTAAACAAGAAAGAGAAGGCACAACAATGCTGTAGCTGTGAGGAAGACGAGGAGCCCAGCAAACAGAGAAGGTTTCAGAGGTAACTGGATCAATTTGCTTTCTGCTGGAATCATGTTTGTGAGGCTTAACATGTAACCGAGTGACCACGCTATACTGCTGTTACCAACCTGAAATAAAAGACAGAAGAGTTAATCCTATTCCGATTGACTTTTCAGTCAAAGAAAAGAGGTTCCAAAAGCTCAACTGCTGATGCTGGCAACTGCCTTCAACGTTACCAAGGAGAAAACTTTAATGGAGTATACAAAGAAGACACAGTTTAATTTTAAATTAAACTTTTTTCTTTTTTATAGTTCCAGAGGGTGCTAATAAAATTGGTCAGTGGGCCAAAGAAGTGAGACACAGTTATTAGACGGATGGGATTTTCTCTGCAAGAAACACACTTTAAAGACAGGTGTTTACAAGACAGGTATTTGGTTTACAGTCTAGCATAGGTTGCTTTCTTTTTCTCTCTGCAAGAAACACACTTTAAAGACAGGTGTTTACAAGACAGGTATTTGGTTTACAGTCTAGCATAGGTTGCTTTCTTTTTCAATTTCAAGTCACTCCAGGTAGTTCTAGGATATGGTACAGGACAGATAAAGCTGAAGTTGTGTTCTTCTACAACTAACCAGCTCTCCCAAACTCATCTGGCTTTCCATCTTTATTACAGGTCATCCCACTCTGCTACTACAGAGTTTGCCTGAATTGCTGTCCCTTTAAGTAGTTTGCTTAAATTTAGGAACCTCTTTGTTAATAACCTCCTTGGTTAGTCTTGGATAAAGTTGATGAATGAATCTTATTATTTAATGTCTTTAATGAACAGTTTTAAGCAGTCAGCCCCTTGTTGTAGAATACCATAAAGGCCTGTAATATTTGGTCTTTTTTGTAGTTGTGTGTATCCTAATACCTTTTCTTTAACTGCTAAAAAGAAAGCTACAGTAACAGGAACTGGAATACGACAGGTGAATAAAGAGGTAAGACGGATCAAGGCAGTTTTTCATTGCTAAGAGAAGGGAAATAAAATCTCATTATGATGTTTAGAGCTTCAACAAATTATCTAGCGGTAGATTTCGCCCAGATCTTAGTACTGGTTTAAGGTTCTTTTCACTGATTGTGTTCACTAATTAAAAGGAAATATACTTCTACCATAGTCCCAAAACCTCACCTTCCTCTCTCGGAGGCAACTGTGCTGTTATCTCTGGGGTAGCCTACCTGATCAGGTATATTAGATCTTATTATTTTAGTTCTGTGAGAGGCAGATTTAATTAAGAGAATGTAGTCTTTCTTTTTGATTTTTCATAATTACCCTAGTGCAAGATCTACGTAACAGAGGTGTTAATTTCAAATAAGCCTTTTGGGTGTTCATTTTGCTCAGCATTTTTCTGATCTTGGCTAAATACAGAAAAATGTTGCTGCATTTGGCTGCTCCTATCTGCTGGATACAATACAAGATATATGTAAATACCAAATCAAATACACCCCTTACGAGGTTTTTAAGGGGATTAAAATCCCAGAGTAAGCTCTATGCCGATTTCCCAGTAGAAGGGCTAAGTCTGCATGCTCCTCCAGAGCTTCTAATGGTTGTCCACCAGAGGACAAAATAAGGCAAGAAACTCCTACTTGATTCCTTAGTGCACCAGTAATAAGACTATTAATTGTTCAGAAAACATTGCTTGCCAGCATACCCTGCATTTAAGAATAGTGCATGAAGATCTACAAGCTATTCTTTTGTCGGTTTTGCATGCAAGCACTGAAGCATTTCCAAACTGTACAGAGATTAAGACAAGGTTTTAGAATAAGGTTCTGTACAGTAGCAGAGAGGAAAGGATAGAGTGACAGAGCACTGTGAGGCCCCCACTCCCTGACAGAACAGCCAAGCTTGGATCATGGTCGTGCAAAGATTTCTTAGCAGTAGCTTTAGAATGGATATATACAAGTTTGTTCCAAGTATTTTTAGGAGAAAATCTGAAGTCAGGGAAGACGTAAATGCAACTGTCACACAAACCTTGTAAGCCTTTTCTCTTTGCCAACTGCAAGCCAATATCCCATCAATATAGGCTCTTATTGCAGAGAACCAGATTACGGCACGGATAGATGCCCCAGTTGCTTCATCACCACTCACTGACTCCAAGCCAGCTCTGCCGGGTGCCCCAGGGCTCTGCCAGCAGAGAGAAAAGCTGGAGTTCTCCTGTCCAACTCAGCAGGGTTAGCTCAAACTGACCTTGACTGGTGAGGTGTTTCAGGCACATCACTGCCCAGAGCAAGCCACTACTTCAACAAACTGAGGCAAGGTTCAAAACACGATTGTTTGGACCTTTCTTACGAGTTCTTTAAAAGAATCTAGGCAACATCTGCAAGAAACACTGCAACCCCTGGAGCCAGGCTGAAATTGCTACTGAGGCTTGAAAAATGGCTTTGTCTTATGCCAAACATTTGACAGTCATTTATAAAGGCTGTTTAAGATTGTTGTGTTTTTGCAGGCTGCTGCATCTTATGTGTCCTCCTAAACCTCTTTGGATTAAAAGAACAGTAAAAAGAAATTATTATTGCTCACCTCCTTTTGAAAATGTATCTGTGGCCAAGTTTCTGCATCAAAGTTGTAACCATGTACAAGCAAGTAATAAATGAAATTAGCTGAAAAGCAGTAGGATCTAGCATATAATTCTTCAAATTTAGGCAGCATAAACTGGAGCTGAAAGCAAAAGTTTTTTAAAAAAAAAAACATGTAAATTATGAAAAACAAATGCTTTTGGTTTTTATAACTACAGAATACTTTGGATTCTAACTAGAATTTATTAGCATTTTTCAGAAACACCAAGTAAAGCTGTGGACAACTAGATACGGAGATTTAGAAAAATAAAGACCCTGATGGTGATACAGCTTATGTGGTTAAAAATAAAAAGAAATAATACAAAACTGGACACAATATTAGCATTTTTCAGAAACACCAAGTAAAGTTGTGGACAACTAGATATGGAGATTTAGAAAAATAAGCTGTATCACCGTCAGGGTCTTTATGTGGTTAAAAATAAAAAGAAATACAAAACTAGACATACAAGATTGAGAATGCTATGGTTCCTAAATTTTACATGTCATCTTTACAGCAGGGTTAAAACTGTGGTAGTAACCACAGCCACACATCCCTTTAAGAGGATCACATACAGAGTCAACCTCACACGTGGCCGTCAGCTATCAAGTGATGATGTCAGGTTAAATAGGAAGTGCTTGCATTCCTTTTTTTTTTGCTTTCAGAAACACCAAGTAAAGCTGTGGACAACTAGATACGGAGATTTAGAAAAATAAAGACCCTGATGGTGATACAGCTTATGTGGTTAAAAATAAAAAGAAATAATACAAAACTGGACACAAAAGATTGAGAATGCTATGGTTCCTAAATTTTACATGTCATCTTTACAGCAGGGTTAAAACTGTGGTAGTAACCACAGCCACACATCCCTTTAAGAGGATCACATACAGACTCAACCTCGCACGTGGCAGTCAGCTATCAAGTGATGATGTCAGGTTGAATAGGAAGTGCTAGCAAAAAAAAGGAATGCAAACAGGGAGCCAGCTGGGTGATCTGAGGTACCTTCCCGCAAATTTAAAATAGGTCTGTCAATGTCTTAGGTTCATGCTAACAGAGCTGAGCTCAGAACAGGGTATAAGGAATATATCTAGCATATAATTCTTCAAATTTAGGCAGCATAAACTGGAGCTGAAAGCAAAAGTTTTTTAAAAAAAAAAACATGTAAATTATGAAAAACAAATGCTTTTGGTTTTTATAACTACAGAATACTTTGGATTCTAACTAGAATTTATTAGCATTTTTCAGAAACACCAAGTAAAGTTGTGGACAACTAGATATGGAGATTTAGAAAAATAAGCTGTATCACCGTCAGGGTCTTTATGTGGTTAAAAATAAAAAGAAATACAAAACTAGACATACAAGATTGAGAATGCTATGGTTCCTAAATTTTACATGTCATCTTTACAGCAGGGTTAAAACTGTGGTAGTAAACACATCCCTTTAAGAGGATCACATACAGAGTCAACCTCACACGTGGCCGTCAGCTATCAAGTGATGATGTCAGGTTAAATAGGAAGTGCTTGCATTCCTTTTTTTTTTGCTAACAGGGAGCCAGCTGGGTGATCTGAGGTACCTTCCCGCAAATTTAAAATAGGTCTGTCAATGTCTTAGGTTCACGCTAACAGAGCTGAGGTCAGAACAGGGCATAAGGAATATTGCAGGACTAGAAAAATACAGAGTTAAACTTCCATTAAGTAAAGATGCCTGCAAGTTACACAGAACGTGTTACATCACAAAACTACCCTTTGGATGTCAACTGTGACCTGGGATGCTCATTGGGATCATGAATATCAGCTGGAATTCACAGACCCAAGCAAAGTGCTTTGATCTCCCAGACTGATCCAAAAGTGCTGTTGCGAGTTCCAGTGGTTGCAGGAAGATGAGGATGTGAATATCACAGCGTACACATATGAACAGATCAAGCAAGTAGGAAAAATGAAGAACTGCTGGGTAAAAGCTGTCTGGAACAGGCCATGGATTGCCAGCTAATATGCTTTACTTGCTTTTCTTAGCATAAGTAATAGCAAAAAAATATGAGACTATAACTTTCCCTCAGATGAACTCTGTGAGGACAATAATAAAATAAAAAAAAAAAAAAAGAATTTGCCTTCCACGAGTAAAAAATTTTCAGGCAGTAGTGCTAATTCAGCTCCAACTACACTGCATCAGCTCTGTGCCACTGTGAACTCAGAGATAATGTAGGATACAAAAGTACTAACTGCTTTGAATATATAGTGATAACTCTGATAATACGTGTGACTGAAGTGTGCTCTTCATGAATGTCAGTCTAGCAGAGTTTTGCTTTAAAATTTAAACTGACCTGCTCTATCAGCCTTCTAAAAAAATTCCATCAGGACGATCTTCGATCCTGTGAAATGCATAAATTTACACCTGTATCTATTCAGTTGCAACATCCCTTACTATCTTTGTGACATCTCAGCTGTACAAAGCTCTAAGATAAAGAGAGGAAAATGCTCACACTGCTTGGCCACATTTCAATATAGGCCAGAAACTCAGAATCACGAGGAATGAAACTTCCAAAGCTAGTCCAAGTTTTAAGTGTTCTAGAAACACTCCATGGTTTGAAGCACACTGGGAGAACAAGCATCGAGGTTGAAACAGACTTCTGAAAAGTTCTGAATACATGTCCAGTCCATATCTTTTTTGTGTCTCCCTTTCACAGGTACAAAAGAAAAAAAGAAAAAAGAAAAAAAAAAACCCAACCCACTTACCTGTGCCCAGCTCTGTGAACAGAAAAACCACATACTTGAATTGAAGTCAGCTAGAGAGAAGTGCCCAGATAAATTCAAAGCATTAATTGTATAGTAGAATCCTGAGAAAGCCTACAGAAAAGGAGTAGATGAGAGGCCTGTTAGTTTCAGAACTACAGAAACCAAAAGCAAGCAAGCTCAAAAAAGAACTGCTGTGTTTGCAAACCTACCACAAAATTCCCTTTAACTTTTGGCTGATGGATTCCATTAAACGGACAGTCTTCGCTGCCTCCGCACGCCGTGAAGTTAAACAATAAAGAAACCATCTCCTGGCACAGACCTGGGTCTCCTGTTCCATGGAAGTTCACAAGCTGGTTTGCGTAGTAATTTGCTGGTCTCAGAGACTGTGTACAAAGGCTGCCAGAGAAGTACTTCATTGTTAACACAGTATTATAGTTCTGAGGGTAACACGGATTATACACATTGGAACTGCTGTTGGATTTCTGAAAAACAAAAAACAAAAACCCCAAAACAATAAAGGCCGCTCAAAAGGAAGAAAAAACTAATTTGACATTCACTACAGGAATCTTTTTAAATCACATACTCATGTATTTTTGTTCTCTTTTCTGTCATGGCTGGTCAACATTGCTTATCATTGTAATTCATAGAAACCCCCTTCTCAAAAAAGAAAAAAAAAAAAAAAAAAATCAATAATCGGCAAGATTGTCAAAAGACTTCCAGGACTAGTTGGACCTTTTTGTCAAATGGTATGAAACTCCCACCAATTTTTAACAAACATGAAGATCTTTGTATTAAACGGAAGCGCATTTGTCATGACAAAGCACACCCAGGGTCTCTAAACCCCACCAAAGGGAAGCAAACACCTGCTCAGACAATTGCTGAACACCTGGAAGAACAACATAGCAAAGGGTTTCAAACAGACCTGGAACAGCAACGCTAAAAGCCTTTTCTCAGCTTCATCTCTGCCATAGCACTGGAAGCTGTGAGTGTAGACATTGTAGTTGTAACCATACAAATTCACTTGCAAGGTGCTATTGAAGTTCTCCTGAGAGTCCTCTGGGATAAATGAAATTTGAGTGGAAGCTCCTCCAAGATCCAGTGCACCCACAGTCTCTTTTCGGTAAGGATGGACCCATGTCCTCCAAAGGTTTCTCTACATGTAAAAATAAAACAAAGATTAAAGAGAAATATCACCTGCTTGTTCTCTCTTCAAGCTTTTCTACTCTTTACTTAGATTTTTGAGACTTTCTCCCTCTTTGCTCTGCACTCTTTCAAAAAAAAAATCTTAGCTCTGAGGAAAACATGCAGATGTTTTTTACGTAAGAGGGATCTACTTTCACAGAGTGAAATGATCTTGAAAGATGGAAAGAGGAATGCACAATAGCTTTCAATTCAGAGGAGAGTACTATGATCAAAGGACACAACTAGCCAGATCAGTGCCTGTACCAGAATGCAGGGAAATGAAGTTCAGGTACCCTTGAGATCCTGTACAAATCTGGATGGAAATAGTACAAAGATTTGCTTGTTTCAAGGCAAGAAGAATTATTAAAGGAATAGAATATTAAGAGATCACATAGAAAAAGAGAGTGAAAACAGAGTGAAAAAACATAGAAAAGTCAAATGAAGCTCCATCAAAGTCGAAAGAACAAGGACTCCTAATCTGCTGCCTCACTGAAACTGCAGTGGCAATAAACCTGATCCATTCCACTGGCATTTTCCTTATTACGCAAAACACCCCCCAAATTCTGTATCTGATCTACAGTCACAGTGCAGAATATGGATTTTGGATAAGTATCTATCTCAATATTTACTGCAGTATTATTTACTGAGCATGATGATACGAATGTATACACAAGAAGGGAAAAGAAACTTTACGGGCTAGCAAATATACTCAAAATAAAGTTCTATAATGAAAGATTCCCATCAACAGCCCCTAGCACAATCTGACTCTTAGCCCATTGTCACAAGAATGGGGAGAAGTTTCTCTTTCCTACTAGTCATATTCCACATGTAGGTCTTCACACAACTCTATACTAAACTGGCTTCACACCAACTTGCAGTGCCTTCGGTAGTCCTTATGAATCTGCCATACGGAATTTGGTATTTGGATTATTAAAATTCATGTGGTATGAGACTGACACCACCCTGAAGTTCCTTACATCATTTTTTTTTTAATGAAATGCAAACAATGAGAAAAATTCTTCCATAACATGTGATCCCAATAGCATTTTTCTTAACTTTGCAAGAGAAAACATGCTCACCATGAGCTATCTCTCAGATCACCATCAGCTAATTCCTGCTTATTAATTGCCATGATCTAGCAGGAACCATTCAGCCAGGACAGCTAACAATACTCAGGGGTTTGCCCAAAATTTCTTTCAGCCTAGGGAGAGTGTCTGGAAGAAGTGCAGTTAATACTAAGGGGAGCACACAGCTGCCATGAATGTAAATGAGCAGTTGCTCATCGCCTTCGTACAGCTTTTACTGGGAATGAAATTATACTGAATATCTATATATAAGAAGGGGTATTCCAACACATTTGACTCCCTCTGCTGTGATGCTCCTGGCTGAGTTCAAGGACAGTGTTAGTGTATATATATAGGTATAACTTTGTCTGCACAAGACATTTGTTATCACAGGCCACTGCTCAGAGCCTGCAGCTTTTCAACAGTGCTGGAATGAATTGTATATGAGTGTTTTCTTCATCAGCTGAAGCACCTTTGGCCACAGCACCTTCACTGCTTCAAACAGTCTTGTCTGCTTAAGACAAGCGAGTCAACACTGCCAAACAATTTGGAGACCCCGAAGTTGTGCAGATCCTTCAGCAGCAGAGCTGCAGGGAAAGCAACCATCTGAGGAAGCCACAGAAAAGCAGAAGAATATCTCTTTAGTTGGCACCACTGTCAAGGCAATCAACACCCATCAACACTTAACATACCAATGCATTTAAGAGCAGTGCAACTTCTGTTTCTAGGTAAGGCACCCAATGTCATTTAGGGAAGAGCTGTTTCATGAATCAACAACACACCTTTGCCATATCACATTCCTGTAACATCATATTTGATTTATGTTTGCTTCGTTCTATTACTGCCACAAAAAGGCGTTGTTACATATTTTGGTGCAAAATGGAAATTATAACTATGAGCTTTTAGCAGGTATGTCCTCTCAAACTTCTCATTTATAAGAAAGAAAAAGTGAGAAGAAAAGCATGCAGTTTTTTCCACACACCTCTAAGAAATTACCCATTAAGTAGTTGGCTGTTATCCATCCATACACCCCTTCCTCTGTCCCAGTTATGATCTGTGCACCCCTAAATTCAAAAGGTTGTGCTCTGAAGTAGTTGTGAATGCTTGCAAGGACTTCACTGGCTGCCGTTTCATTTTGCAACCTAAGCAATTCACAAAACATGAGAGACTGAGCATCTGGAAAGGCAATTTCATGTTTATTGTTCACTGACTAGCAATTCAAGAAAAATCCTACAAGCACCTAATAAAAAATAGGCATTGTTTCCCTAAAGGGGAAGCTTATGATAGGGAACGGCCAAGTACCCAGCACTGTTTCAGCAAGCAACGCCCCCACAATGTACAAACTTCACTCTTTTATCATACAAGTTCATGGGTGTTTTGTTTCTTACATGTATTTTTCTTTTTAGTGAACTGAGTGCTTATATGACAGCTGCTGGTTAAAACAGTCTTGGAGCTTTTCTTCCCACTCTGTTTAGCCGCAGAACAAATGCAAATAGCCAGTTTGTGCCAGGGCTAAAGCCACAGACAGATCCCAAAAGCCACACGGCACCACAGTCGTGCTCAGAAAACTCTGAGTTTAGAGTCTAGCTTTAATCTGCCCTTGCTGCCCACACATACACACAAACATTATCTTTTTACATGACACTGAATTTTAAGACAGATATGAAAGAGAAAATTAAACTCTTTCATTCTCCAGAATAAAGCAAGCCTTTCTTTTCAATATGGCATAACAGAGGATTTTTATACAGCCCCGCTTTCCCTATGAAAAAAAAAGTTAATTAAATTAAATTGGCTGGGCTCCATTTCCTTTTGAGATGGAAAACTTCCAATGGATAAAAATGCATCCAGTACATTTTTCACATTCTGTTTTCACAGCCAGCCACGCTCGTACGCATACAGAAGAGTTCAAGTTTCTGCCATACCTCAGTAGTCTCATGCCAGCTGTAGCTCCCAGATAAACAGAAGTGTTTTTATGCAGATGAACTGGTATTCTCTCCTTGACTTTATTCAGACAGTCATCAAAGGGTTTGGCAAGAGCTCCAGGGTTACTCTCATAGCTGGATATACCAGGGCCTAAAAAGAGAACAAGTAGATTGATTTCATTCTGCTTTGCCAACTACAAATTAGCCCAATTAGCAAACAGGTGTTAAGAAAAAGAGATTTCCCCTTTCCCTCCTGTAACTGCAAATAAAGACAGGATGGTTGAAAACTGTGAGCGTTTGAAGAATAAACAATGTAGTGGCTGTCTCAGCTGTGTGAGACAGAGAAGATAGTTGTAAACTGCTTGCCTGTATTTCTGTGTGTACACATATATACCTGTAGTACCACAGCTGGAGTGAGATATCCAGTATAACCATATAACAGCATAATGACAGCAGTGCTATATTCATGAGGAAAATCATGGCAGATGCTGTAGAAAACTGCATGTCTAATGGATGCAAAATTCCTCTATCTGCTGAAGTATAGAAAAAACCCTCCTTCCACAACCTAAGGCAAAAATTTCCTAATCTGGCTTGCCACAACTGTTGTGGACACCATGGCACCTCTACAGCTCACTGCTCTCAACTGAAAAGAAAATAAAGAAGCTTCTTCAAGGAATTGCTGGTGAAATTTCAAGATGTACACAAATGGCTCTTGAAGTCATAGAGGTACAAGTCTAGGCTGATGCATGAGCTACTAAGTACTTCACAGCTTTCCAAATTTCCAAAGTCTTCAAATAAAAGAAATGCTGCATAAGGCATAACTATTTGAACAATTAACCTCAAAGGCCTTCCTCCCTTGCTCAACACATTCTTCTGAAAGACCTTTTATTCCAAGCTATTTAAAAACATATTTTATACTTTCCTTTTAAAAGGAATTATTTCAGGGCACAAGGACTAAGCATTTACAGGGCCTGATTCATTGTAGATCGAATTCTGTCTCAGAAATCATGCACTGAAATGAAGTAAACTAAACTTAGCTACAATTTCCTATCTCTGTTGCAAATTAGACATACACCCTGCTGTAAGAGTAGGAGAAGAACTGATGCTGACAGATACAGAAATAGTCTTAGCAGTTCTTGCTTCCCAGCACTGACAAGGGAACATAATGGGGAAAAAAACAGTGTAGGCTTCCAGGTAACCTCTTTTTGGAGCCTAGAAAGAGATAAGGAACTTCCATTTGAGCTCACCTTTCACATTGCACTTGAAGGTTTGGCTTACTACTCCTGTGTCATTTTCTTTTTCTGCTGGCCATTCATAGACGTAGACTGTAGTCCGAGAGGACCCAGCATCAAAGACTATTCCATACTGGAGAGAAAAAAAATAATAAACGACACAAACAGTGACAACTTAAAGGCCCATATGCAGCTGTACTTCTATACACCATCAAACACTTCAGAAAATGTATGCATAGTATATTTACAAGGGAGATTAATTCTAGTGTTAGGCACTTAGGCATGAATCCAGCAGCCAAGCACAGAATGAAGCTGGCTGCAAAACAAAGAACACACTACTATCTTTGATAATTAATTCAGTGGGGATGGAGAATGCTCATCTCCTTTCAGCATCAGGTTCAAAATCCACACTGACATAGATAACACTGTGTCAGGATCTGATTTTGCAGCCAGTTCCCATTATCCCAGGTACACTCCTTGGATACTGAAGGGTTTGATACCTAAGCACAGGCTTTAGATTCAAGGATGCACAAAGGATCCATAAAGCTACAAGAAAAGAGGTAAAGTACGTAATAGTCCACGGCGAGAATGATGTAACAAGTCTGGTTCTTTTCTAATTGCCCCATAAACCTCTCCCTTTGAGTGGTTTAGGCAGTCCACCTGAGAGTTTGTCACTGAAAACAGGCTGTGCCAGAACGTGAGACAACAAAGAGGGAAAGAGAATCAATATTACCCCACGTTTATTTATGAAATAAATAAGAAATATTTAAGTGACTTGGCCCAGGGCCACTTGGACTGGTTCCTCCGTCCCATTTCACTGCTCACCAGACCAGTCTTTCCCCCTTCCTGTCTTTTATGGCAGCAGAAAACTGCAGCAACTGGGAAGGCAAACTGCATGAAGGGAAGAAAACTGCTATTTTGCTTATCCTCTTTATGATCACTGAAAGTACATGCAGCTGTCCCCCTCTTCCAAAGTCATGTAATTGGCAGGAATCACACAGTGTAGGGTTCATTTATTTTTTTTTTTTTTTTTTTTTTTTTGATTTTGTGTGGTTCCTGTCTTTGAAATTGAACGTGGCAGTAGTTGATCTTCTGGCTTTGGGGGTCTGTAGAAATGCTGAATCCGATGGTGATATGGTTTGGGTACATGGCAGAAATATAATAAC